AAACTTTCGAGAATGCATTGCAATAACACATTTAGTGTATTTGGTCGTGTTAAATGTAGGGGAAAGCGGGGCAAAATACCGAATGGGGCAAGATGGGTTTTCATATAACAACTCAACAAAAAATCTTAAAATTGGTTGAAAACCAAACTGTATTTGCATCTTGTATTTTAAATACCAATTGGTTTTTTGAAATATTATCAACGCAATTTTATGCGCATAAGTTTACTTTTTGCGCTTAAAAAAAAATTCCTCACTTTCGCTTTCTCATAATGGATGGTGCCCTTCAAGTTTAACTTCTTTAGAAGTAGTTTTTTGCGATTTGTGTTTATTTTGTGTAACTTTAGTTAGAGTTATTGGATTTTTTTTAAATTTTATAAAATTGGAGGTAAAAATTGCATAATAAGTCATCTTGCCCCGGTCACGTGACCAAATGACAAATTTATGAACTTTTTATTTTAATATTTATTCCAAATTGTTATATTTGCAAACTGAAAATTCATGCAGGCAATGAAGGATTTTAACAACATAAACATACTGAGAAAGTATTATTGCTTCACGGCTGATAGTTTTGCAATAACTCAGGGCTTTCAAAACGTTCGCCATCATGCTCCCAAACGTCTAAATCATATATTGCTTTTGCATTTGCATAAAGATTATAGGAACGCATTAGATCTTATATATCTAATCTCAGATACACTTTAAAAAATTTTTTTAAGTGGATCTGAGATTTAGTGTTGTCGAAAAATGTAAGAGCGATAACTTTTGTTACGTAACTTAACTAAAAAATAATTGCGGTTTAATTGAGTGAGAAAAAGTCATGATTTCAATTAGGATTCAATAACTATTAGATAGTAATAAAAATGATATTTTAAAAACACATTTTTTCGAAAGAATAAAAAAAAATGTCAATAATCGTGATAATTGTAAAGAAAATCGTTTTAAAGATTTTTAAAGATCAAGACAGATGTGTGTACACTCCAATGTCTATATATATTACTCTAATGTCGATCTATGTCGATATATGTACTAATGTGTGTATACTCCAATGTCGATATATGTACACTTTAATGCTCCTTTTATAATTTACATTAATAGACGTGTCACGTGTCACTTTGAATATATCTTAAGTAGTTCATTAATAATGTAAAATTATTAATAAAGTATTAATTTAAATTATTTATAAAAAGTTAATTTAATGCAACGTTTTAATAGCAAAGATGACGTTTTAACAGCAAAGATAAAAATCAGACTGTGTAGTTATTTAATAGAATTTGAAAAAAAAAACACCTCGTTATAGCAGCTTTTTGTTTTCACACTTTTTGCTTTAACATCTTGTTACCATCTGAGCAACGTCTTTAGTGTTTGGGAAACTTCATAAGATTGATGACAAAAGAGAATAAGTTCTTGTTTAAATGAATTTATCAAAAACATTTTTTCAGGGTTTAGATTTGTATGTTTTACATTTTCACGCTTTATCTTGATTTTTTATTTTTAACGCTGCTTTTTGATTTTTAAGAAAAAATTGTTGTAATGGATTTGCAGTGTAGGCATTTTGAGCGGTTCATTCCTCGCTCATCGGTTACTTAGTGGCATACGTTACAAATTTACAAAAAGGAAAATTTGCTAACTTTTAGTAAACACTAAAAATACAGAACTTTATATATATAGTTAATAATAATGATAAAAATAACAATGGTAATAATAATAACAGAATTAATAACAATGTTAATAACGAGGATAATAAAAAGAAGAAGAAAAAAAACAAGACTGAATCATTAAAAATTAGTAACATTATTTAAGTATAATATAATATAAATATTCTATAAATATATATATATATATATATATATATATATATATATATATATATATATATATATATATATATATATATATATATATATATATATATATATATCAAAATGTGGAAATTTTATCATAATCCTAATCTGGGCGAGTACTTTTCATTTCATGATAATTTTTAGCAAGTACTTATCATGAAATGATAAGTACTTGCTAAAAAACCATGTTAAATGCAATTTACAAAAAAAAAAAAAAAACATGCTTAATATTAAACGCAAACAGGTACACCAGTGCCAAACCTCTACTAAAAGAACTTGGAGTGCTAAATGTCTTCAAAGTAAGTTTTCTTAACATACTATTTTATATGTTTAAGTTAAAGAATCTATTATTGCCAAACGCTTTCTGAAGTCAATTTATTTCTATAAACCACAAATACCAAGCTAAGTACTCAATTAACAACTTAGTCATACGTAAAACTTTACCAAAACAAGCTGACTTTTCAATATCTTGCCGAGGACCACGATTGTGGCACTGAATTCTAACAAGTAATATAAAGGCTTTAACTTCCAATCTACATTTTAAACGTGGAACAAAACAACACATATTCTATTTTGATTATAAACAGTTACTAACTTTAAAGCCTTTATTTAACCCTAGTTATTTAATATCTTATATGTTGACGCAATACGTTTTTATTTTTATTTTTGATTAAGTATTTTTCTTTAATATGTATGTTTCTTTAATAAGTTTTTTCTTCAATGTGTATGTTTCTTCAATATGTATGGATTTCAAAGTTATGTTATTATATTGATGTAAAAATAATAATAATAATAACAAAAAATTAAAAAAATAAAAACAATAATAATAATAAAATATATATATATATAAAATATAAAATATACAAAAAAATAAATAAAATAAAAGTTTAGGCATGTGTATTATAAGCAAGATTATATCTAAATTTGTAATAACGGGGCTGATTATGGTCTTCTGCCAGCTCCAGTCGGAATTTTTCGAAACTTTACATTTTTGTTGTAAAGCTCATTTCAAAGGAAAAAATAAGTAAAATATCTTGGAACATTAGTGTTTACAACAATTAGCGAGTATTTAGAACAATATTGTACCAATATTGCATAAATTTTACTTGCTACTAGGGAATTTAGGTAATATTTATAAATTGCGTTATTAAAAATATATTCGCTCACTCATTCCACCAAGGTTAAGTTGGAACAAACTGTAAATATAATAACTAATATATTATTAAGTTCAAAATGTATAGAAATTTTTTTACTAATTATCTGGCAACAATTTAAGGCCAGAAAATTACTACTAATTTTAGTTGGTAGCAAATAATAGTTCTTATTGCAAGCGAAAGTATTTGCCCTTTTTTTGTTTTATAGATAAAAGACTTTCCTTAAAATTATTTTTTTAGTAAAAAATAATTTTTCTCAATATTGTTACAAACTTAAAAATGTATATCTAATTTTATAAAGTATATATTCTAAATATTATGAGCCAACTATATTTGGCTCATAGTATTTAGAATGTATACTCTTATATATTTATAAAATTTTAACAGGGCCCATTAAAATTTTACCAACTTTTCCCAAAAGCCCTTTCAATATAGAGCCTGAAAAAAATATTGAAAAAAACTATATTGCAAATAGTAAACCAATTGTGACTGGAATTTTTATAGTTTTTTTATGATTTTTCAAAAAATTTCCAAATAAAAACATACATTCTAATATCTCATATGCCCGTTGCAAATCAATTAAATGCTACAGTGAAAGATAAATTGTTTAATTTGGATATCTTTTTTTTTTTTCTTGCACTTTCTGATGAATGATTTTGAAGGTAAGCGGAAACCGTCAGCGTACCCCTGTTTCTATCTATCCCCGGTAGGGAAGCTACAATTAAAATTTTGAAAATAAATGGTTTTTTATATAAACTAAATAAAAGAAAAATAGTGTTACTAACCGTGAATCTCTCAGATTAAATTTTTTCCTATTAAATTAAATATTTATATTAAACTACATTGATACGCATTTTATTAATTTTGAAGCTACAAGGTGAACTATACGTATTTAAGCTAACGTAGTTAGTTACCGTAGTTTACGTAGTTACGCATCTTTAGAGTTTTTTTTCAGCTTTTTCTCCCTTCAAAAATTTTAGGAATTGAGGATACTTCAAAGCTGGCTCAGTGCATTTAATATTTTAATAAAACTACAAATTTCTAATTTTTTTGATGCAATTTAAAAATAACAAAACAACATATTTTTTGCTGCACGTAATACTATCGTACGGTTTTTCCTTCGTTGAAATTACAAGAGTTTGCATGTTTTATTTCTTAAAAAATTGGCTAATAACTGCAAAAGGTTAATTAACTTTGCATTTTTCAATTCAGCCCTTATATCTAAAATCTTAAGCACAACAAAGATACTTTAGCACAACTTTTAGTATATGATGAAACCCTAAGAACAGCAGATATTTATATGCCACTATAGCTCTTGATTTTTTTACAAAAAGCTAAATGATTAAAACAAAAATAAAAAATAAATTGTAATCCGAGAAAACTATTTAACATCGAAGTTTTAAAAATAATGCACAAATTTTGCGAAAACAAATAAAATATTTTGTTATAAATACTTAGACAAAATATATAAATACTTTGACAAATTATTAACAATCCCTGGCATAAGCTGAAATTGAGTACAACTACATTATTCTGATTTGGAATATTATTCAAAATTTTAAATTACTTTTCTACTTTTATTTCGCATTTAAGAAACAAACAATTTCTAGTTTTTATAATTTTAGCGAAAATACCAACAAAAATATTATTTTTCTAAAGCGTCAAAAAATGCTTTTAAAGTAATGTTTTTATATAAAAACCTGAAAATCAACAGATAGTTTTTTGAAAAAGGTTTTTAAACCCTATTGGTGATTGTCTATGTGTGTCTATGTGTATATAATAAGTGTATTTAAATAAAATTTTGAAAGAATAACTGTTGTATGTATGTGTTTAAATAACAATTAATTTTTTTTTGAATTCTAGTATTAGCAAAATTTTATTCAGATGAAAAAGAACTTAAAAATTAAGCTCAGATATAAAATTTGTAAATGTTATGGCAACTGGGATGCTTCATATATCAATCCTTATCAATTTAATAATGATTTATTTATTTCTTTTTAAAAAAATCAAGTAATTGAATTGGTATGTCGTCATGACTTTGAATTGGTGAGAGCGCTTCCATATCAACGAAACATGCCGGAAAAAAGTTTGCTAAAATCAAAGCAATGATAAGAACACATTTACAAATCTGATTTGTGGAAAAAATGCAAGAAAAAAATTCACTGGATTTTTAAACTATGGAGAATAAGTAAAATATTTTTTTTCTTATGTTTTTCATAAACTTTTAAATGTTCTATTAAATATGCTATTTTTTAAAATGTTGTCAGTCTTTTGCTTTAACTAGTCATGAAAATAAAAAAAATTCGAAATCTAAAAAATTTGTCAAAGTTAATTCCGCGAAACTTAGAAAAACGCGCGACGTTCGTATAAAACAACAACAAACAAAATAATTTTGAGCACTGATTTGTTAAAAAAAGTTAAACGTTTTTTAATAAAATCTTTAATTTTAAACTAATGCAGAATAACTGAAATCTTTAATTCTAAGGTATAATAAGCTACAGTAATTGAAATCTTTAATTCTAAGAGAAGCGTTTCATCCACGGAGTTTTTTTGAAGAATATAAAACATCCAAAATGTTAAAATATAAAATTGTGTTTGAAAAATATAAATTCAAAGCATTTTTTTTTAGTTTTATATTTTTGATATTAATCAAATTTCTGAGATTTCCATTAAGATAAAAAAAGACAGGAGTTTTCAATTCTAATGACAATAGAATATTTTTTATGTGAATTAGTAATAGTAATAAAAATACAAACTGCTGTAACGGCTTTTATCTCGTAATGGTAAAGTTTAAATTTTATACTTTACAAGTCGTTCACAAATATTCATCTAGTCTTGTTTTGAAAGAATTTAATGTCTTTGCAGATGTAATTTTTTCTGGCAATTCATTCCAGTAAGGTATCGCTTACTGGAATGGATTCCATTAAGTTGTACCTTTCCAGGTTCATAAAAAAATATGTCTCAGAGTTGTTTTTGCAAATTACGTTTCAAATTTCAGTGAATGACCTCTGGGACTTTGAATAGGAGCCTCGTGTATCTCATTATACCACAGTATCTTATCAATACCAAAATTTGAGGCAGTGTTGATTTCTCGGGTTGTTTGAGACCCCTAGTACTAATGTATATTAGTTAATGAAAATCTTTATCATAAATTTTTCCTTTATCTTCTTCATCAGGTTTTTCTGTTTTTGCCTTTGCGTTTTTTAGCGTTGTTAGCAAAATAGGAGTTTTGTATCTCTATTTTTTAAATATAATGTTCCCAATAAAATTTTTTTTCTAGTGACATTTGTTTTATTTTTGTTGATGAACTATTATTTTCTAACCTCTGCCTGCGTTCTTTTTTTCTTTCTTTCTATATGTTAAGTAATATCACACATATTTCTGATTATTTACTTGCAGAGCTTTTCTTTTAAATTGTTTCTTTTTATCTTTCTCAACATTTTTTATTACTATAAAAAAGTCATTTACTTATTTTTTTTTTTTTTTTTTATGTTTTTACAAAGCAGTTTTACTCTTTTATTAAAAAGCTTTTTTTGTTTGTGTTTATTTCATTGTGTTTCATTTTGTATCAACTTTATATCACTACTTATTTCAACAGTTTTTTTTATTCTTAATAAATGTTAAGATTAAAAATGTTTTTTGTTTCTACATTCATAAATTTCATAAATTTGTAATATACACTGAATTCCTCTACCTTATTCTTAGTAAATTTATTTGCATATATTTGACAAAGGTTTTTGTTGCCTCAAAATTTGAAGTTTTAAGCACATCAAGTTAATAATGATAATAAGTTAATTTTTTTTTTTTTTTTTACAGAAAAAATAAAGCTAACCAAAGAGAAGCACTATTCTTTAAAGATGGCGATCCTAATTTTACAGGTGTTGCTGTTTCTGTAAATCAACGAAAATATCAAAGCATTGAAAAGCTTTTAGAGGAGTTAAATGAAAAGGTTCATCTTCCAAATGGTGTGCGAAATATTATGACACCAAATGGAAACCATCAGGTTAAGTGGCTTCATGAAATTGATGATGGTAAAAAATATGTTTGCTCTTCTTCAAGCAAGATTAAAAAAATAGATTACAGCAATATTCAAAAGAAACCCCGTTTTAGAATACCTCGTCCTCCTTCATCTCGTGTTTATGAACCTTTTAGGAAAAAAAATCCTCCACTATTTTCAGAGCGACGCCAATTTAAAAGTTTAACAATAATATCTAAAAATGACAGCAACAATTGCGCAAACATTATCCTTACAAATAGAGTAAAAAATATTGACACTTTGTTTGAAGAAATAGGAGAAAAATTAGGAGGAAAAGTGATAGCTCTTACAACAGTTGAAGGAAAACTAGTAAGCTTTTTTGTTATAATTATTCTTACAAGTACAATTTTTTACAATATATTTATTGTAAGTTATTCAGTTGTATTTTTTACGAGTTGCTACCCTTATTTGAAATAAGGGCAGTAACTCGCTAAGCATGTAAAAGATATTTTGAATATGCTGTACTTTTTGTGCAGTATGTCTGAAATTTTTTTGCATTTTTGATTTGAATTGATTTGATTTGAATGCAGACACCTTATATAAGTGTTTAAGTTAATTTAAAAAATATCAAATAATACATACATTCTTTATTCTGGTAGTGTGTACAAGCTGGTAGTACGTGAAAAATGTCAAATAATGCATATATTCTTTATTCTGGTAGTGTGTACGATTGGAATTGACACTACCAGTGGTATCAATTCCAATAACAAAAAAAGTACTAACACTGAAATTAAAGTTAAATTTTTCTTATCAAATTTTCAACTTTAATTTTAGTGTTTTTACATCTATTTAATCAACTTTTCTTAGCAATATTTTTTTTGTAAAATGATCCATCGCAAACTGATGATGTTTACCTTGAATTAAAATTTTATGATGCTGAAGACATATTTAATTTCTAGTTTTATTTCTCCTTAATAATTCATAGTTTTGTTTCTCCTAAATATCTCATAGTGCTGTTGCAAAATAAAATTTGATAGGTTTCAGGTTTGCTATTTTTTGTTAGTTTAGATTTATATTTAAACTTTATTAATAATAATAGTAGCAATGTTGGAGAAACTGTAGGAAGGACATTAAAATTAGATTAAATCAATTTTGATTTGTTTATTTTTTCAATTGAATTATTTAAGGAAAGATGCAGTGAATAAATATAGAAAAAATACATACACCCCTCCCCCCCCCCCCCATCAAAGACCTCTTTGATTGGGGGGGGGGGAATTGTGTATGTATATATATATATATATATATATATATATATATATATACATATATATATATATATATATATATATATATATATATATATATATATATATATATATATATATATATATATATATATATATATATATATATATATATATGTATGTACATATATATATATATACATATGTATATATATAGATATATATATATATATATATATATATATATATATATATATATATATATATATATATATATATATATATATATATATCCGGCAATTGCAAACTTTCTGCCGACCTCAAAGTGTATTAGCTTGAAAAAATTTGCTGACCTTGTTTTTATATTTTATGGTAACCCCTTTGTGTCAAACTTTTTTGCCAACCTGATGCTGACTGCCAACCTGATGCTGAGTTAGAGGTTGGCAATATTATTGCCGATCTCTTTTTTCCTAATTCAGAGAGTTGTATATATATATATATATATATATATATATATATATATATATATATATATATATATATATATATATATATATATATATATATATATATATATGTATATATATATATTTATTTTCGTATCTTTACTTCACTATAAATAAAAAAAATTAAATCATTATGAATTTTCATTATTTATGAAATCAATATAATTTTTTTTTTACATTTTTTTCCCTTTTTTTTGCTAATTTTTTTTTTACATTTTTTGCATTTGTCAACTGACAAAAGTTTTCAACTGCCATGTTACTTTGAGTTAGAGTGTACTGCACTATAAAGTCTTTAAAGTACATAGTAACTCAAACAGAGGTTCTAATCCAATATTCTGTTCAAGAGAAAGACATAATAATACTAACCTTTATGTGCTGCAAAAGGTTGTGGCATTTAATAGTTAATTTTCTGGCTCCTCATAGGTAGGTTTCTGGTAGCTCATTGTTAGTATAACTAATATGTTTGGTGATTAAATTATTAAAAAAAAGTTTTATTTAGATTTAAATTGGTAAAACTTTAAATATTTTTTTTTGTGTGTTTTCATCTAATGATGAATATACAATTAATTTATTTATTTTCAGATTTCATTGTTATCAGAACTTTTTAAAAATGGTGATTGCTTTTATGCTGAAATCGGTGATGTTTCCCATGAAAAACCCAGCAGTGTACCAGTGTCATTTTATAAAAGTATAAAATTTTATTAGTTTTAAAGAAATTGTTTGCTTAATCTTTTGCCATAATATTACTTAAAATAAACAATTTGAAATAAAAACATTGTATCCATTAATTAACCTTGGTTGTTAAAAAAATAATAATTCAAAATTTTGTTTAGTATGTTATAGTTTTTGTTAAAATTTTGATGTTATGAAAATGTTGATGAAATGAAACCTAATGGAACTTTTATGTTTCATTTCATCAACATTTTCATAACATCAAAACTTTAACAAAAACTATAAAATGTTAAATGAAAAAAAAATTTTTTAGTTATAAACTAACATACTTTTTTATATTTTTAAGTAAACACTATTAAATCGAAGCTAATTGCATCTTTAAAAAAATAATATAATATTACATTTTCATTGCAATTTTACAATTTTCTAATGCTACTTATTTTTGAAACCAAAGTGTATGTCAGTGCTAATATATATTTAAAATGTTTTCTCCATTTTGTTTGTCAAAATTCCAATAATAATGTTATTCATCTAATTTTAACTTTTTTTTTTTTTAATTCTGATTCCAACATGACTGCAAGCAAGCACAATTAAGTTGGGAGTTACTAGAAAAAAAAAGAAAAGAGTTATAGATCAAGGAAAGGGTTGATAAAAGACTTGAAAAGTTGTAGATTCTATGAGTCAGGAAACATGAAAATGAGAAAGAGTTTCAACGACTTGAAGCAGTGAAAAAAACTAGAGGAATAAAAGTTTTTAGAGCATGCAGGGACAGATACAGTACACAAATGACAGTTTGCTGAATAATGAGTCAAGTGAGGAAGAGGTAATATAGTTCCTTTGAGCAGCGACTATGATAGTATTTGTAGAAAAGAGAAAGAGATGGTACTTTACGACAATGGGAAAGAGGCTCAAGCATAGCAGATAGAGCTGGTCCAACAATGTTTATAATGTGTTTGTGAATCTTTTCTAGAAGAGAAAGAGCATCATTAGAAGAACCTGCACAAATATGACAACAGTATTCCATACAGGGGCAAATAAAAAATTTGTAGAGGTAGAGAATGGAATCAGGAGTAAGAAAATGGCAAACATGATAAAGGCAACATTAGGGGATGCTAATTTAGTAATCGATTGTATAAACGGTTTCCATGTAAGGTCAGTAAGAAAGGATCATTCATAATAAGACATGAAGAAGAGGATTCAGTGAGAAGGTTGCCATTCATTAATATAGGAATGTTGACAGTTAAGCAATAGTTCTTTGCAGTAAATAACTGAGTTTTGTTGGAGTTTTGTCACAGAAGTGAGATCAGATTTAAGATCTGCTGCCTGTTTTAAGTGATCGAAAAGAGAAGACTTTTTGTATCAAGTCTTCTTTTTTAAGAATGGAGCATAAGAAACAAAACAGGGCTAAAAATAGAACATTGAAGTACCTAGAAGAGTGTTGGCCTTCAAGGTTGACTTTAATAAAATGGTTAGAAAGAAATGATTTGATAATCTCAAAAACTTTTCCAGATACACCATATGAAGCAAGCTTATGAAGAGGACCAGCATGCTCAACTTTGTTGAAAGCTTTAGATATGCCAAGAGCAATAGCCCTAGCTTCTCCGCCTTTATCTAATACATGATAAAATCTTTCAGTCACAGCAGTTAACAACTCAGTCATAGAGTGACAAGATAAAAAAATTTATATATTGATTGTCTGACAGTAAGTTATTTGACTCAAAGTGGGATGTGATAAGTTTGTTTATCAAAGACTCTAATAATAGAAAGAAGACTGATCAGAAAATAATTGGAGGGGTCAGAATGATCCCTCCAATTATTTTCCGATAAATAGTTGGAGGGGTCTTTTCTGGACTTTTTGAAAATTGAAATAACAGATCATCCACCAAGCACGAAAACAAGACTCTTATATTATGACAAGAATGTTGTCTGGACCACAATATGTAGAAGAGTTTAAATGAGATATGACTTTAACAGGTGAAGCTAGAGTGGTTTGAATGTCTAACAATAGGTTAAACTGTTTAATATCTGAGGTTAAGAAATGCAGAAGTTAGAAGCTTTAGTGCTAAGAACAAAGAGAAATGTGACAGAATGGAAGAACATAAAAGAATGGTAAAAGAACATAAAAGAATGGTCCCCATCAACACTGATATCTGAAGAAGGACTATCAGAATTTAAATTAGTCTCACTAAGAACAAGCAAGTCTGGTGAGTTTTCCAAGAGTTAAGATTTAACTGATGGAACTTTGCAGACCACAAGTATTTGTAAAAAATATATTAAAACAGTTAGGGGGGGGGGTGGTTTTTTAAGTTTAATATATATGGTTATTATTGGGATAATTTAAGAAAACCTGACTCATTCATAGATAGAGTCCAGCCTCCAAAGCAATGAGCCATGCAATTGTCTCAGTCCTGTTAATTAACCCAAAGTTGTTACATAAGGCTCTTCCTTATGTGGCACCAACAATGTGCAGCAAAAGCATTAAAAGGGATACCATCCATTTGCAACTTGGCACTGTTAATACTCTGATGCTTTGCAGCTGTTGATGGAATCAGCCCCTCTGAGAGCTAACACAGTGTTTGGGAAACCTTACTACTAATTGGCCTCAAAACAATTAATTTTTAGGGCAGTATCTTTATTAAGAGATAACAAAGAGTTGCATAGAAACATCAAGGAGGCACAAGCAAAAATTTATGAATAGAGTCAAGAAGATCCAGCATTCATTATCCTCAGCAGGAAAACATGTAACACTGGTTTACACCTATGCCAGATGAAGAAGAAGTTCAAGGTTTACAGAATTATTCTGCTTAGCCTTTTATTTGTTGCCTAGGAGGCCTCCTACAAGACAGTACCTGGATTCAAATTCACATTTCCCCAAGATGAGCATTTTTACTGAGATTCCACCTCTAGCCTTTACTTACTGAAGAGACCCAAGGCAGGTGATTTTTTTAAACATACAGATAGCAGCTTACAGTCAGCTTACAGATAGCAGCTTACAGATGAGTCAACACCATGCCAGAGCACAAACATGCATGTAAAGTAAATTAATAATATCTTTTCTACAAATACTATAATGGGCACTGCTCTAAAGAGTAAACATAGTTACACCTGCTCTTGCAGCCACCCATCAACCATTATCACATCGTCGTAATGTTTCTTCTCTTTTCTCTTTTCTACAAATACTATAATGGGCACTGCTCTAAAGAGCCAGCGTCTCTTGTGCCATCTACTAAAATTCATTCTTGTGTTACTTGTCATTCAATTAAGTCTCATCCTTTTTCTGTTACTGTTTCTAAGTGCTCCAAAAACTCTTATTCCTCTAGTTTTTTTCCTCAAACATTAGTTCTTTGGGATTCGCTTCCTTCATCTTGCTTTTCTGATTCATATAATTTGCAATCTTTTATATCAGCTGTCAATCTTTATCTTGCTCTACAATCTTCATCTTTTTTCTTCCAGTAACTTCCAACACTAATTAGTGGTTGCTTGTAGCCTTGTTAAAAGCTTATGGCAGCAATATTGTTAAAAGTTAATGGCAGCAATATCATTGGTAAACACATAGAAATATTGCATACCAATTTAGTTTGTCACAGCTAAAAAAAAAAAAAAAATAGTTTTCTAAAGATTTGTTAATTTTACACCACTTTACCTTGTAATAGTTAGTTTTTTAGTTTTTTGTTTTCTTTTTTATTAAGTCTTTATTTAGTTTTTCTTTTCATTTTAATTTGACAATAAAAAAAAGTTGAAAATTAATATAGTTTTTGTTGTTGTTATGTGTGGTAATTGTTTTAATTATTGTGGTAGTGGTGTAATGGTTGAGCTTTCGCATTATAAGGTATAAAGATCAAACTCAGCACATTTTACCTTTGCAAGCATGAAAAACACCCCACTTAACTTTAATCTCTGCATAACAGAGCTTTCTTAGGCAACAACAATTGATAAAAATTTTTTTAAAAAGAACATTTTTTTCTGTTTTTTTTTTTCCACAATATTATTTTTTTAAAGTTTAAAATTTTTTTAACTTGAGTTTTTTTATTTTCTTATATAGGCCAAAAAAGAGTTTTTACATTCAAAAATTTTTTTTAGTCTCTTTTACAGCAGGGAATGAGATAATTGTTATAACCATTATCCTTGATAACATTTCAACATCATTCTATATATTTAACATCATTCTATATATTTAACATCATTCTATATATTTAACATCATTCTATATATTCAACATCATTCTATATATTTAACATCATTCTATATATTTAACATCATTCTATATATTTAACATCATTCTATATATTTAACATCATTCTATATATTTAACATCATTCTATATATTTAACATCATTCTATATATTTAACATATATTTTTCTTTGTTTTTTTTTTAACTAAGTATTATCTATATAAGAGTTTAGGTTTTTACTTAAATTTTACTTATTTTTACTATATTTTATTTGCATTACAATTTTTATTGTATTTTTTATTTTTATTATTTTTATTTGTTTCAGATCATAATTTGAAGCTAAATGGAAGCAGTCCCAAGCCAATGACTTCTTCATCTGCAAAACTAGACAGACAATTAGGAAGTTCCAATGTTACTAAAAAAAATAAAATTTCTCCTCGAAAAAAGGGTAAGTTTGAGTCAGCTATTGTGCGTTTTGAAATAGCAGTCAAAAATTAATTTAAATGAAAAATAAAAAAATAAAAAGTTATAAAGAATGAAATGGTTTTTTATTATACATAACTTTTTTCAATTTGTTAATTTATTTAATTTGTTATATCAAATTATAATCGTAAACTTTGTAGTTTACCCCTAAAATTTAATTTGCAGTTTGCTATAAGTTTTGAAAACATAAAAGCATGAAATTAAAAATTTTTAGACACCTCATGGTTGTTGACAATTAAAACAAGTGATATTGACGATGCTACAAGCGATAACTTTGCATATATTGTATTATATGGTAAACATGGAAAGACTAATGAATACTCTTTAGGTGTACCAGAGCATGCTAAAGGATACTATCGTGATTCAATTAGTGAAGTTGAGGTAATTGGGAATAAATAAATTATGTTTACGCAGGTATTATCTAACTATGGCACATTAACGACCATTACCAATACATGCTATTAACAATATTTAAAAATTAATTTAAAAATTTTTGGCCATTTTAATGAAATAGTTAAAATTAACATTTTTTATAATTAGATAAAGACAGCTGATATTGGTGACCTTTACAAGATTCGAATTGGTCATGATGATAATGGCGTTGCTCATGGATGGCATGTTGATACAGTAAGAATGTTTTTTATAAATCATTAAAGTCTTATATGTTTATTGTTTTACTTTTTTTTTCATTGTCATTATTTTTTTTTAATTTATACTTATAATATCTATATATATCTATATCTATATATATATATATATATATATATATATATATATATATATATATATATATATATATATATATATATATATATATAATATATATATATATATATATATATATATATATATATATATATATTATAATAATAATATAATAATAATAAATTTGACATATTTGTGGGTTTTAAAAATGATTTGATTCGATTTCTTAACTATTTGTATAGTAGTAGTAGTGATAACCTGTGACTGATTTTTAAAAACCAGCAAGTGAAATTGTACTGTGATGGCATTGTTAACTCTTATCAAGTTACATTAATCCTACAGCCATAGGTCATTCCTTGAAAACATCAAATGATTCTGAAGATGTTTTTTAGTTAATGTATTCCAAATAGAAGCAACTCTGTTGAATATGAAATTGTGTCTAGGTTGATATTTAATTATTTTACAGTCATATTTACTGTCATCTACTCTATTAGATTGGAATGCTTTTAACTCAAATTTATTTATTAGCCTAATTTTTTCAGAACCATTTTCAATTTACCATACTTGGATTAAGTCCCCTCTCATTCTTTGGATATAAAGATCTGTAATATTTAGATGTTTTAACCTTTTGTCATATATCAAGTTCCTCAACAAAGGAACAATTTTAGTAGAGTGATGTTGTATTCTTTCTAAAGCTTTAATTTTGCCTTTGAAGTAAGGAAACCAAACTGGGACTTCAAATTTAATAAGGGGTCAAACAAATGTTGTATATAATAACCTAAACATATGAACATCAATTTTAAAAAAAGTATTTATCAACAATCCCATCATTCTATATGCTTTTGAGAAACAAGCCATTATATGATCTTTTGTATGGTTTTGTTACTTTCTTTACTTAACTTTTTAAAAATTGAACATGATTTTAAGTGTCTTTTTCAACCAAATAATAAATATTGTGTTATATATCTGAGTTAAATTTATAGGCATATATATATATATATATATATATATATATATATATATATATATATATATATATATATATATATATATATATATATATATATATATATATATATATATATATATATATATTTATATATTTGTAACATGTTAAGAAAAATTCAAAAAATCTTTAAAGTTATTTAAAATTAAATAATTGTCATTAGTATAATAATAAATATTATTTTTTATAAAGATTTTGCTGACAAATCTTGACACAATGAAAGAATATCTTTTCAAATGTAATCGATGGTTTTCACGCGAAAAAGATGATGGCGAAATAATGCGAGAAATACCACTCTATAAAAATGGAAAACCTGTTCTTCCATGTAAATCTTACTTTTTTTATAATAATATATACTCATTTTCTACACTAGTCAATTCTAGGTCGTTTAGGTTGAAAATTTGATTACTTAAAAAAAATTTATTACAAAGTGTTCAGGACTATTATACAGACAATATTATGAAAAGAACAAATTATTTGAAGTACGTCCTGATGAGAAAATCAATTTTTAAAGGGGATCAGGGCAATTCCCCCCCTTGCCCCCCTTTATTTATTAAAAAAAAAATTATGCCATCTTTAGAAAAATTAAGCATCAGTTACATATTCAAAAATTCAATAAAAATATCTTGCCGTTCAAAAGATATAACCATTTAAAATAAAACTACAAAAAACTAAGTTTAATTTACATTAAAATATAGTGTAATACTCATGATATAATAAAGCCTAATCTGCAATATTATTGTATAACATTGTATAACATAATAAAATTATATTTTATTTCATGGAAAAATGTAAAATCATCTGCTATATATATATATATATATATATATATATATATATATATATATATATATATATATATATATATATATATATATATATATATATATATATATATATATTTATATATATATATATAATATATATATATATTTATATATATATATAAATATAAATATATATATTTATATATATATATATATATATATTATATATATATATATATATATAAATATATATATATATATATATATATATATATATATATATATATATATATATATATATATATATATATATATATATATATATATATATATATATATATATATATATATATATATATATATATATATATATATATATATATATACACACACACACTCTGAAACAGTATAATATAATCCATAATATATACTGATTTAATGTAATCTTCAAAACTATATAATATACAAGATATGTATAATTATGTAATCAATAGCAAAGAAAAAACTTAAATTCTTTGACTTTAATATTCAACTATTGCCTTTTTAAGAAGCTCTCCATGGTTTTCTCTGAATTCTGAAGTTGAGAATCTGCTCAGTGTTTTCAACATATTATGTTGAATAGATTCAGAACATTGTTCAGAAAATACTCCCAATGGCAGCTTAGTTCTATTTAAAAACATGACAAGATGGTGTTCAATTATATGACCTTTCCATCCCATAGAAAGGTTGTGGTTGAATGTAGTCTTCACATACTCTTGGTTTTCCTAAATTAATAATTTAAAAAATGGTTAATATAAACAAAAATTAAAACTTTATTTTTAAATGTATGAGTTGTTATGCATTTATGTAACTATTACCTTTAACTTTCTTATATATGTTGCAATGGCATTAGGATAACCGTCATGGAGTTTCATTCCGAAACACATGTTTACAACTAAATGTAAATTTTAGTGTCGTTTATGAGAAATTGCTTTTGATTCAATAAATATTTCTTTTTAAATCATAATTAACTTTTAATATATAAATGCTTTGTAAAATTAAGTATATTTAAAATTTACCTGAAGAAAAAGACTTTAACAGTTCAACAACTGGATAATAAGAAGAAAAGTTATCTAAGATAAATTTTTCCAAATCTGGCAAAGGCTTTCGTATTTTGTAAGCATTTCTACCATCCAGTCCACCTCCATTATACCCATGCCAAATAATTCCATGCTTTTTTAACCAGAGAGCAACATCAGGTTCCTTACAGAAGACATTTGAAATTTCTGTTATAATCTTCATCATTAAATGAAGTTCTGGAGGAGGGATGACATCAAGCACATACATCTCTCCAGACTCAACCAGGAGACATGGATGTATAACATTCTTATAGAGTTGCATAGAGCTTTTTTTAAATCCACTTTCAGCAAAGTTTTTATACGTGTTCTTAAGCATATTAAAGGTTCTCAGTTCTCCAAGATTAGTTTTATCACCATCACAAAATAAACATGAATATTTTCCCTCATGTCCTGACAAACCCAAAACTATGTTGCATAATTTAAGATCTGCAGCAAGGTAAAACTTTAAACTGTTTAGCTTTGTTTTTTCTATAAGATTTGAAGATTTGTGTGGCTTTCGCAAACATTTTTGGCAAAAGCCAATATTATAACTTTGTTCACTCCAGTATTCTTGGTTTCTTTGGAGTCATAATTTACTTCTCTGTTAAAAACATTCATAATAACTTTTAAAGATCCTTGGCCACTATCTATTCCTATACGAATAATAACATTCTCGACTTCTAGTCCCCTAGCAATGCAAACATGATTAACTAGAGATATTGGATCTTTGACATACACTAGATCTTAAATGACAGTTTCAATAGTTTTTTTTTCTTTAACTTTATTTTTTGATAGAAATTCCACTTTTTCCACTGAGTAATAGTTATCTAAGGCATGTGACATTATCTTAATTTTTTTGGAAGAATTAGATTCCACACCTAATCTACCCAAATCTTTTCTTAATTCCATTGCTATTGAATCAATAGTACAGTCTGACATATCATGCTTTCTTTTGATATTATAGAAAGTTTGGGTAGAGATAGTTTTAAGAGTTGGCTTTTTCCCTATCTGAAGACTTAAAGGAGTTCCTCCAGTCGACAATCTAACAGTGATGTCTAACTCAATATTTTTAAATTGTTGAATTTCTTTCAGAGATTTGCTAAGTACTTGCTCAACTGTTTTTAAACCTGAAAATTTATAAATATGTTTTAGGATTACGTAAAAATTTAGGTTTAAAAAAACTCTAATTAAGCTCTTACCTGTTGACATTAGCAGTGTTTTTAGCTTCTGTACAATGTCTCTCTTATTACAGGGATGTTGAATTCCAGATCCAATTCTCTGATAACAAGTACAACAAATTTTATCTATAACCTCCTTTGGCACTTCAGGGTCATTAATGTACATGTTTAATACATCCTAAATAAATAAAAAAACTATACTTATTTAAAATATACTTAATTAAACTATAATAAAAGTTGTAATTTTATAAATGTTTTTAATGTAAATAATTGAGCTACATATATGAGTTCTTTATAAATTACCTGAAGGTTTATAGATTTGGATTTATCTCTTGACATGATACAGAGCAGGCAATCACATGTTGACACTGTCTCACCTATATTTATATATATATATATAAAAAAATGTTTATTCATATTATTTATAGCTTTTATTATATGCATAAGTAAGTGTAAGTAAAAGTATTACCTTTAAATCTTGGAAGTAACTTTCCAGTTAATAACTAGTGATAAAGTTTCTCCTTTTTTAGCTGAGTAAAAATAAATCTTGCAGCTTGGACATAACCCAATAGGGTTAGAAAGAAGTTTCATATTATAGTTAGTGTTGGCATACAGTTGAATCAAGATTAGTAAAGGATTTCCAGTTACCAGTTCAATGCATTTTAAGTTCTTATCACCACAGCAAACACAAATAAGTTTTCTTGAAGAGAAATGATCCCTTGGTTTGTTTGGCATGTTAACTATGTTAATTATGCTAGTTTTAATGCAAATAAATAATAAATATGTTAGATATTTAACTAAAGCATATACATACATACATACATAATAAATTTGGTAACACTCTGACTAGTTTTACTTTAAATGGTTATATCTTTTGAACGCCAAGATATTTTTTATTGAATTTTTGAAAATGTAACTGATGCTTGATTTTTCTAAAGATGACATAATTTTTTTTTTTAATAAATAAAGGGGGCCAAGGGTAGGGGGAAAAGTTGCCCTGATCCCCTTTAAAAATTAATTTTCTCATCACGATGTACTTCAAATAATTTGTTCTTTTCATAATATTGTCTGTATTATAGTCCTGAACACTTTGTAATAAAATTTTTTTAAGTAATCAAATTTTCAACCTAAAAAACCTAGAATTGACTAGTGTCCATAATCCTAACTCATGCTTTTAATTTTACTTCATACCCATACTTCCTATCAATGCTCTGTATCCCAACAACCATTAGGCCCTTTATTTAAAAGGTCCAGATCATTTAAGTTAAAAGGCCGCCTTAATTTAAAAGTCTATAGGTATAAATTTAAAAAATGATTTATTTTTAAATGAAAAAAATTGTGGATCTTAAATATGATCATTATAAGATCCCTGATTTACATGAATAAATTACTGTCTACATATAACATATTTGTATACTTAGCAACTCATCATTTTAGTTCACCCAAATGTTATTTTATATGGAAACAAAAGTGCTTAGTAACCATGGAAACTTGAAGGGAGATATTTTATTTTAAGGTTTTGTGTAAATGTAATAGTTAAAATAAAAAATACTAAAAAATAAAGACTTTTCAATTTGATTCTGAATTTATTTGTTTGTAATAATAAATTAAAAGATTAGACATTAATATATAATAAAATTTTTTTCTGTTTTTTTTTTCTCATTTATTATTATATTTGTTTATTATAAAATGATCATTGTTATAATTTATTTTTAGTGGTTAAATTTATATACAAAACATATTCATTGTATTATATATTTTTATATTATACTATTTATAGTGGTTGAGTATTACATATTTGTTATAGTTTTATATATATTAAATTATAGTGATTGAGTATGAAGTCATTGTGTACACTGGTTCTTATGATGATAGCAACACAAACTTTGATATTTTTGTTGTAATTGAAGGAGAAAAGGGGGATACTGGAAAGCGATACTTAGAGGCATCATTAAGCAATGCTTTTCGCAGCAAATCGGTAACACAACAAATCATTTTAATTATTTTATTGATATATTATTATTGTTTAATAATAATCATGTGTTGCAAACCAAAATCCAACATGGATCACAGAAAGTTTTAAAAAGATACCTCAGATAGTAAAAAGACTGCATATAAAATACATAAGTAGCTTATTAGATAAAAAATGAAAAGAAAGATAGAAAGAAACAGCCTACTATAATATCCACATATATATATGTGGATATTAGAATATACACACACACACACACACACACACACACACACACACACACACACATACACACACACACACACACACACACACACATATATGTGTGTATGTGTGTGTGTGTTTGTGTGCATGTGTGTGTGTTTGAAAAATTCTTAAGCTTTATATTCAGAATTAAAAATAACAAGCCCTCCACAAAATGGGAAAGTCCCTCACTTATTAAACAAACTTCCCATTATGCTATAAACTTATCTATCTAATTTTACTGTCAGTTTATTATTATTTTTTTGACAGTTAGTTATTTCGATTGGTTATTGACCGAGTTATTTTGTAATAAATATATTGGTTCATTATGTAAATTTTTGTCTCATATTTTTTCTCTGTAAAATACTTTCACTTTTTTAATATTTATTTCAGACTTTTTAATTTTTTAATATTTATTTCAGAGTTTTATTATTGTAAAATAATCTTTTGAAAATGTAAATAAATTTTACAAAACATGTCAAGAATAAAAAACATTGTGTTATTTTAAAAATATATATATATATATATATATATATATATATATATATATATATATATATATATATATATATATATATGTATATATATATATATATATATATATATATATATATATATATATATATATATATATATATATATATATATATGTATATATATGTATATATATATATATATATATATATATATATATATATATATATATATATATATATATATATATATATATATATATATATATATATATATATATATATATATATATATATATATATATATATATATATATATATATATAGATATATATATATATATATATATATATATATATATATATATATATATATATATATATATATATATATATATATATATATGAGTTAAAATTTATGATAAATTTTCAGATTGATACATTTTCAATGGAAGCTGTTTACCTTGGACAGATAAAAGATGTTGTAATAACAGCTGAAGCTGTTGCAGTTGATGAAGGTAGTTTTTAACATTAAGTTTTTGAACATGTAAGACTTATATTTTTGATTCTTTCTAGCACAAGGGATGTACAAAATGCTAGGTTGTTCGCAGGTTAAAATAGGTAAAAAATATGATAGAAAAGATCAGATTAGACACATGAACACAAAACAAAAGATGGTTAATTGAATGCTAAAACAAGATAAACTATATTATGTAGCTCTTGACAAGTAGTCTGTTTATTTTGTTCAAAAACCTTTTATTTTGCAAAGTAAGAATTGACACTTGATATATACACTCATATTACACTCTTGCGGTATAAACTCTGAATTTAGCCTGATCTAATATGATACATAAGTTTTATCAATTATGAATCAAAATAGCTTTTTTTTTTTTTTAACATGTTTTGGATCATTTTTATAAATATGAAATGTTTATCTCCATTATTTGGAATAAATTTGATATATTAATAACTTGTTATAAATTTTTGTTACTGTAGAGTTGGCATGGTTTGCAGAAAAAGTGATTGTGCGAGATACAGTATCTGGTATAGAATATAGCTTCCCTTTAACAAGGTATTTTAGATTACTATTTAAAATTAATAAAGTATTATAGTTTATTATTAAAAATTACTGTGGTCACACCTACTTAGATTAACTCGTAGCTTGTTTAAAATTCATAAAGTGTGTGTACTTTGAAAATTTACTTTTTCTCACTCTCTTCTTTACCTTATTTAAAAATTCATTTTACAATTACATTCATTTAAATATTTATCCAGTTCAATCACCACAAATACTATCAAATTAAATCTACCAAAAAACTATTCAATCAATTCTACCAAAACATACTCTAGGTACAAAATGTTGCTTACTTACAAAAAAAATGTTTCTTACTTACAAAAAAAACTTACAAAAAAAATACTTAAAGTGATTTAAAGGCTTAAAATCTTTAAAAACAAATTTACAAATATGGCTTATATGGCTTTACAAATATTTTGAAAGAAATTACGGCTTTACAAATATTTTGAAAAAAATTTAAACAAGTATTAAATATTTTATTTTGATTAAATATTTTTACAAATACAAAAAAAATTGTCTATCTACCTGTCTATGGTGCATGGTATTTTGTCTGACAGGTTTTTTATAATAAAAAATGAAATTTAAAAGTAATTAAATAATTTTTTAAAGAATTTCGCGATTTCAATTTTGAGTTTAATATAATTTAATATATAAATTTTGGTTTTCAAAAAATTTACAGAATAACTCTGATTATTTAATTTATAAATTTTTAATTAAGTTGTTTTTTTCCTTGTTATTGTTGTGCTCCAAGAAGATAGAGCACAATAATAACCTGGTCTTTTTATAGAGCACTGTAGAAAAGCAAGCAAGAAGGAAAATGCACACTTTCTTCCTTACTGATGTTGCAGATATGGCCAGAGCAACCATTGAACCTTTTTGATTCTGAAGTTTGAAGTCTTGACTTTTTGGTTCCAAAGTTAGAGCTCTAACAACTAAATCACAGCTTTTTTAAAGTTTGTATACCTAAGTGACGTGTGATCTCATGTGTGCTGTGATGCAGTTGCTAGAGTTCTTGCTCAGAACCAAGAGGTTTGAGGTTTGATGATATCTCTCGCCATATAAGTAATGTTGGTTAGGAAAGAGGCTCCTACATAGTGCTCAGAAATAAGACCGTTATTCAAGACTACAAGACTGTTTGCTAAAATTTTAACAAACTTAATAAAAAGAAGCAGACACGTGATTTAATATTTCGAGGTGTGACTCAACTGTTTTTTCAAACATTGTTGTTGCACTTTGAAGCATGTTTCTATTTAAAATGAAATTTTTCTATTTAAAATGAAATATTTAAATATTTCTGTTTAAAATGAAATTTTTAATTACATTTTCTTTTATTTCCAAATGCTAATGTATCATTTTTTAAACCTTATTGTCGCCTTTTGAATCACCTGAATGGGCAGTTGAATCATTAATAACACTGTTTTTTATTAATGAATTAAATTTATATTTTAACTTTGTCAAACAAAATTAACAAAATAAAAAACATTATAAAGACACATATAAAAAATCATTATTAAAATGTAATTAAATAAAAGTGCATACGCAAATCTAGAATATTTCCTTATTTTTGAAGATATAAATAAATGTATAATTTATTACTTGACGCAAAAAGTATAATTTATTGCTTAAAACTAAATAATTAAATTACTAATTAAAATGATAACGTTCAATTAAAAAATAAATTGACTGACAAATACACATTTGATAAATACAAGCTAACAACTTTTATTTGTCACTTTGTAAAAAATTAAAAACTTATGATATATTCTTAGAACTCTAATAATTTCTATAATTATGATACCACAAGACTATTTGCAGCACCTTAATAACTAATAAAAGACAAAAACAGGGTTTTTTTAATACCACTGAAATTATGTTTACAACATATGTAAAAGTGAAAATAACTGCATAATTGCTAAACATATATATATATATATATATATATATATATATATATATATATATATATATATATATATATATATATATATATATATATATATATATATATATATATATATTTCAAGGTGATAGCCAGGAAAATATTTTTTACTGCGTTTTAACAATATTGGAAATATTTATTGTTAATGTTCAACAAAATATTGGGAATTCTTATTGATATTGTCCTATTACTTCACACATACAAAAAAAAGTCATATATATATATATATATATATATATATATATATATATATATATATATATATATATATATATATATATATATATATATATATATATGTATATACTAGGTTGGTTGAAAAGTTCGCGGAGCGGAAATGAAAAAACAATTTTATGATTCAAAAAATGACTTTATTCTTCAGTATATTCTCCCTTAAGAGCAATACACTTTTTCCAACGATTCTCCAATTCATGTATCCCATCTCTGAAGTGCGATTCCGGAAGGCCTTCAAAATACCCATTTACGGCTGCAATGACTTCTTCATGTGATGAGAAACGCTTTCCACGTAGAAATTTTTTGAGATGTGGAAAGAGGTGGAAGTCGGACGGAGCCAGATCTGGTGAATAGGGTGGATGTTCCAAGCGTTCGTACTTTAATTCGACCAATTTCGCCTTTGCAACATGGCTGATATGAGCAGGTGCGTTGTCCTGGTGATAAATGATTTTTTTATGCAGCAAACCAGGTCTTTTCTCACGAATTTTTTTATCCAACTGGTCCAAAAGATTTTTATAATATTCACCTGTTATCGTTTTACCGGTTTGAAGGTAATCTATTAATAAAATTCCTTTCGCATCCCAAAAAACTGATGCCATAACCTTCTTTGACGATTTTGACGCCTTCACTTGCTTCGGAGCTGAACAACCGGGTTCTGTCCACTCTGCAGTTTGTTGTCGCAGCTTCGGATCATAGTGGTAAACCCAAGTCTCATCCATGGTTACGAATCGACGCACAAAATCTGTTTTATTCTTTTGAAAACGGGCCAAATGTTCTTGAGAAAGTTTTACTCGAGTGCGTTTCTGATCCAGAGTTAGCGAATGCGGCACCCATCTTGCCAACAGCTTTCTCAGACGTAATTCATCGTGCAAGATGTGTAATACCCGTTCATCTGAGATGCCCACAGCCTCAGCAATTTCTCGTTTGGTCAATCGTCTATCATCCATAACCATGTCATGCACAGCATTAATCGTTTCTTCAGTAGTAGCACTTTTTGGACGTCCAGAGCGAGGGTCATCTTCAAGGCTTGAACGCCCACGTTGAAACTCCGCAGCCCATTTGCATACTGTTGTTTTTGAAGGAGCATCATCACCCAACACATTTACCATTTCATTATGAATTTCCATGGGCTTTAAACCTTTTTTCACAAAGAATTTTATTACAGCACGATGTTCAATATTTTCCATTTTAAAAAATACTATGACACGTCTAATTTCAATAGCTTGTAAACAAAGACTGAAATGACATATCGACTTGAAATTTTTTATGCGTTCATACGAAGAATGAATACGTTTAATACAGTTATAAATTTGTTTCTACTACTGCAACATAGGTGCCGCTCCGCGAACTTTTCAACCAACCTAGTATATATATATACATATATATACATATACATATAAATATATATATATATATATATATATATATATATATATATATATATATATATACATATATATACATATATATACATATACATATACATATATATATATATATATATATATATATATATATATATATATATATATATATATATATATATATATATATATATATATATATATATATATATATATATATATATATATTTCAAGGTGATAGCCAAAATATTGGGAATTCTTATTGATATTGTCCTATTACTTCACACATACAAAAAAAAGTCATATACATATATATATATATATATATATATATGTATATATATATATATATATATATATATATATATATATATATATATATATATATATATATATATATATATATATATATATATATAAACATAATGTATTCTACAAAATAGGGTTCTCAATGTTCATTTAATACTGTTCATTTAACAGCTCTTTTTCATTTAACACTGTCTTTCATCAATAAAGACTCATCAGAAATCTCTCTCTCTCTCTCTCTCTCTATATATATATATATATATATATATATATATATATATATATATATATATATATATATATATATATATATATATATATATATATATATATATATATATATATATATATATATATATATATATATATGTATATATATATATATATATATATATATATATTCGTATGTTCATTTATATTTATACATGTTATACATTTATATATATATATTATATATATATATATATATATATATATATATATATATATATATATATATATATGTATATATATATATATATATATATACATATATACATATATACATATATACATACATACCTACATACATACATACAATAATTTTTTTAATTTTATTAATAATTTTTTTAATGTTTTTTTTTAAATCATTAGTTTCTTAAGTATTAAATTGTAAGTATCGTTTCCAAATAGTTAAATTCAATAGTTAAAATCATAAATAATATTACAGCATGTTTTGATTTACAGTGATGAAAAAGCAAAGGCTGAAAGCTTTTTAAACAACAGTATTGCTCCAACTCAACCAAAAGAGAAACAACAAAAACAAACTAACTACAAGTTACAACAAGAACAACCAAATTACAGTTTTTCTCCAAGTCTACCTTCAAACGATGAAAAATGTTCAGATGTGTTTTCTAAAAACAGTAATACTAGTTCTCCACAATTGACTTCAAATTCAATTGAAGAAGAGAGACCTTTTCAGTCCAATTATCCAGTTTCTTCCTCTCCAGTGTCTTCTACAGTAACAAATAAACCTGACTCTGAGGAGACATTTGATCAGTCAGAAAGTAGTTTTTACTCGAACTCAAGTGATGCAATACTACGTGAAAATAGACATGTATGTTTTTAATAATAAAACGTTTTTTTGCATTTATTTTCTAATTTATATTTTTTAATTTACCATTTATTATAGTTAATTGACTTTTTCTTTTCTTTTTTTTAACTCACTTGTTACTTGCTTTTTATTATATATAATACACACTATTATAATGAATTAGTTATTGTATTTATAATATTTATTTTTTAAGTTATATAAATCTACTATTTTTTTATAACAATTACTCATTATTTATGTTCCAAAATTTTGACTCAGACAACTTAAATGACTTTTATGATTTTAACAATTAACACTTAAAACCCTCGAAAACACTTGAAACCCATGGGGTAGAGGCAACGTGCCTAATGACAGACATTACCTGTAAATTAAGGTTAGCATAAAACTTTGCTAATAATACTGAAATGGTTTTTTTCTGGGCTTCAGTATATATTGGTAAGGGTTTAGGCAGGCAAGTAAGCACAGGAAATAAATTTTGTTTTTCTTTATCTGTTATTCTTTTTTTTCTGAAAAAGTGTTTGGATTAAAAATGCAATTTTAAAAGATTTAAGTGAGCAAAATATATTTTATTTTTATTATATATTTTTCTGAACTTAATTCGCAGAATAAAGCACACACATGCATGCACACTAGGATGGCCCTTGTGCCCATGTATGTATTTTTTTATTAGTCTGATCTCATCCACTAAGAGTACTCTATATAACAAAATAACACTAAATTTAAAATTTTTTTGAGTAAAAAATATTTATGGGGTCTGTCAAGGACCAAGAATATTTGATGGGTGTCTAATATTAGTCCCTAATAAAAAATTATTTTGGATTCTTTTGCATGAAATATAACATTTTTTAACTAAAAATTTACTTTTTTTATTATTAGTGTGATTTTATTATATAAAACACTTTTAATGGATGGGAGCAGACTTTTTAAAAAATGTTTTGACTTTTTAAAATACTTTTCTAAAAAGTGTCACACACATAAGTGTGCTTAATGTCCTTTAAAAACAAAGCAGTGATAGTTTTGTAAAAAAACAAAACACTCTAACTTCTTATCTTTTATATCAGAAAACATTGTGGTGATCTTTAAAAGGAGAAACTGACAATAGAAGTACAATTTTTAGTAGTGTTTTTCTATTATCTTATATATATATATATATATATATATATATATATATATATATATATATATATATATATATATATATATATATATATATATATATATATATATATATATATATATATATATATATATGTATGTATCTAAGAAGAAAGCTTTAACAACTCTTAACTGCAAGTGAAAAAGTTCTTTTTTAATTTTTTATTTGAATTGCTAGCCACACTTTCTGCTTATTGAAGCCTGTAGATCAGCAGAACTACAGAAACCTGTAGATCTGCAAAACTACAGAAACCTGTATATCCTAACCCTAACCCTGACTTCAGTCAGGGTTAGGGTTACTGCTACTGGTAACATGTAACCCAGTACAATCTGCTTTATGTCCTGCTGCCTTGTAGGATATGCCTTTTTAGGCAAAGGCTAGGAGATGCAAACTCCGACATAAAACACCCCCTGTCTTGGGGTTCTTGGTTGAGTAAAGGCTAGAGATGGTGTCTCGATAAAAATACTCATCTTGGGCAGATGTTAAATGCATCCGGCTGCTGTCTTGTAAAAGGCCTCCTAGGCAAAGACTTAAGGGGTCAACAGATTCTATCTGTTGATCAGCCTTGCACCCCTTCTCTATCTATTAGGCTGGCGCAGATGTATTTTTAATACATTGTTTCCAGTTTAGGATGTTGAGCGCTGGGTTTTCTTGACTCGATGCATGGGTTTTGCTTGTGTCTCTGTTTTTATGACTCGGCAACTCATTCTACTATCTCCAAATGAGGGTACAGCTCTAAAACTCAGTTTTATGGTTCTGAAGCCGGCTGGTAGTCAGATTTCCTGGACTCTGTGGTAGCTCTCAGAGAGGCTGATTCCATCAACAGCTGAAAAATATCAGAGTACTAACAGTGCCATGTTGCGCATGGATGGTGTCCCTGTTTTTACTTTTGGTGTGCATTGCCAAGGCCATATTGGAGCCCTTTGTTACAGCTTAGGGTTTATTAGTGGAAATGAGGCAATTGCTTGGGCTATAAAACAGTGTACTGAGTACTATTTCTGTTTCGAGTCAAGTTCTTTAACAAATTTAAAAATGAAGTTACAAAAACTATAAAACACAAAAAACCACAGTCATCACCAAGTTCACTAAATCTATCATTCACCAATATTCGTGGTCTTCGAAGTAACTTTTCTTCTGTTGAGTCTTATCTCTTGCAAAGTTCACCAGACCTACTTGCTCTTTGTTTTGATTCGTCTAACTACCGTCCCATTAGTCTTCTTCCTATCATAAGCAAGGTTTTCAAATCTTTTATTAACAAACACTTAGTCTTTCATCTCGAATCTCATAACCTACTTTCTGATCATCAATATGGAATTTGGTCTTCTTGTTCTATGGCTGCTTTGCTAACAGTAATACCCGATAGGTTTTATCGTGCATTAGATAAAGGTGGAGAGGTTAAGGCCATCACTCTTGACATTTCTAAAGCGTTTGATAAAGTTTGGCATGCTGGTCTCCTCCATAAGCTTTCTTCTTCCGGTGTATCTGGAAACATCTTTAAGATTATTGAATCCTTCCTTTCCAATCGTAGTATAAAAGTTGTCCTTGATGGACAGCACTCTTCTTCTTATTCTGTAGCCTCAGGGGTTCCTCAAGGTTCAATCCTTGGCCCTATACTCTTTTTAATTTACATTAACAATCTTCCAGATATTCTCACATCTAAAGTGGCATTGTTTGCTGATGATACTACCATTTTTTCTTGTCACAAGAAGCCACCTCCCTCTGATTGCTTGCAGGAGGCATCTGAGCTTGAAAAGGATCTCACTTCTGTTACAGCATGGGGCTCACAGTGGCTGGTGAACTTTAATTCAGATAAAACTCAATTTCTTTCAGCCAATCGTTATCGCAATAATTTAGACCTTCCTATATTTATGAACGGTAATGTACTCGATGAGTCTCCTACCTTTCATCTTCTAGGATTAACTCTTACTTCTGATCTTTCTTGGAAACCTTATATCAAATCTGTTGCAAAATTAGCATCTGCTAAAGTCGCTTCTCTTTATCGAGCTCATCACCTTCTTACTCTGGATTCTATTCTCTATCTCTATAAATCTCAAATCTGGCCTTGTATGCAATACTGTTGCCATATCTGGGGTGGATCTTCTAATGATGCCCTTTCTCTTTTAGACAAGGTGCAAAAATGCATTGTAAACATAGTTGGACCTGCTCTTGCAGCCAACCTTCAACCTCTGTCACATCGTCGTAATGTTGCTTCTCTTTCTCCTTTCTACAAATACTATAATGGGCACTGATCTAAAGAGCTAGCGTCTCTTGTGCCATCTACTAAAATTCATTCTTGTGTTACTCGTCATTCAATTAAGTCTCATCCTTTTTCTGTGACTGTTCCTAAGTGCTCTAAAAACTCTTATTCGTCTAGTTTTTTTCCTCGAACATCAGTTCTTTGCTTTCTTCATCTTGCTTTCCTGATTCATATAATTTTCAATTTTTTAAGTTGTCTATCAATCGTTATCTTGCTCTACAATCTTCATATTTTTTCTTCCAGTAACTTCCACCACTAATTAGTGGTTGCTTGCAGCCTTGTTGGAAGCGAATATGTTAAAAAAAAAAAAAGATCTGCAGTACTACAGAAACCTGTAGACTGTTTTAGAGATAATCTTTTTTGGCACATTAACATGCATAATTAATTTTTTTAATCAACATTAATTTTTGTTTGTTGTCGAAAGCAAGCAAGGGAAGAATGCAAGAAAAATAACAACTTTTAGAGATAAAAACAAATTTAAAAATATATCCCTTAGGTATTTTTCTATTTTTATAAAAATTAAAAATATAATATATACACCTTCAAATCAAAATTTCTTAATGTGTTTTGTCTTACCTCCCAACGATTTAATAATCCTGCCCATAATCCTTGTTTATTGGAGGTTTCCAATTTTTGTTATAATACCTAAGCTGATGATGATGATGGTGATGAATCCATGATGTAAAAAACAAAGTTTGAATGCTTTATTTTATTTAATCATTTTTTGATATATAAAAAAATTATTATCGCTATTATCATATTAAGTACAATAAATAATATTTAATATATTATGATTGCTTTTAATGATATCATATTATTATTGTTATTATTATTTTCATCATCACTATTATTATTTTCATTATTGTTTATTTGTGTATAGATGATATTATTTGGTATTTAATTTATATTAATACTTGTGCTATAGTAAATGTTCTTGAAATTCTTTTTTCAAAAAATATATTTGATTGTTTGTAAAAAGCATATTCATCTTTGGTATAGGAAATTGCTGACGATGAACTTCCGGATGAGAGTAGCATGAATGAAGGTATTCAGGTTGTTGCATTTTCCAAAGTTACTGGTCGAGCCCTTTGTTTTAATTCTGCATCCCAAAAGGTGCATGCTTTTGGTCAAGAAAACTTTTGTTGTAAGTATTTCCTTTATTTGATAAGTATATGAATTTAAAATGTTTTCAGATTGAAATTTAAAATTGAAATTTTATAATTAAATAATGGAATAAAAAATGAAATTTTTTCTTAGTTGATAAGAGTCACACTTACTATAAGTATAAGTTTTACTGCTATTATTATTGTAAACAACTTTTTTGTGTGTTTTCTTTTTTATTTCTGTTGTAAAAACTCGTTAATTGAAAAAGATGAGATATAGACAAATTCAGTTTGGATGCTTTTACTTTCACATCCATGATTTAGTTTTTATTGATTTTATCTGTTTAACTTACTTTTTTTTATTGTTAGGTATTTGGACTGTGCTGGATGGGAATACTGAAGAAAGTGTTCTTTTGTACTCATTGCAAGGGGATGGTTATTTAGCAGTTGACCAAAGTGGAGTTGTACTCACTAAAGTAAAAGTTTTGCTGCAAGAAATATTTTCAGAAAAAAAGTGAAAAAAAACGTTTTGTATAATTTGTTTATATTTTTTAGTATCAAATTATTATTTTTATTCAATTTTTTGTAGGGAGGCCCTGGAGCAATAAACGAGTTTTATGTAATAATCAGTGAGAGTTCAGAAGCCAAAGAGGTATCACTAGAAAGTGTTATCCATTCAGGTATCTTTCTCTGTTCTGATAACTACGGCTACGTGTTTGGGTCTGAAGGACAAAGTGAAGCAACTAAATTTTTGTTAACTCATAAGGTTTTTGTTACTGTATTAATTTTTATTTTTTATTGACTTAGTGTTTTATTAATATAAAAATGTATTTTAAACTGTTTAATATACTATTAGTGACTGTAATCTTTTTTCAAAACTTTTTTTTTTCTTTGGTCATTGATTTTGATTGCATTATTTTAGCTAGTCATTATATTTTTTATTTAAGCTTATAAGTAAATTATTTGAGCTTGAAATAACTTCTTATAACTTTTATATTTAGGCTTATGATGTCAATCAATATAGCATTGAAGAGTCTGGATGTCCCCATTTTATTATGCCAGTTTTGTCACAAGCTCAAAATGATGTTGTCAAAAAAATCAAAACTCAAGAAGTAGATTCGGAAATTATCAAAATAGATATAGAGAATAAAGAAAAAAAGAAAAGAAAAAAAGATAAAAAAAACAACGAGGTTACAAGTCCAATACTACTAGAAGAGGTAAATAAAGTAGAAGAAAAAATACAGGAAGAAATAATTGAAGTGAAAATGGGACAAAATGTGGAAAGTCATAAACATTCAAAAGATAAAACAAAAAATAAGAAAATAAACAAAACAACACAAATAAATAGAGAAGCAAAAAAGGAAGACAAAGAAAATGAAAGTCCAACCATAGAAACAGAAGTAAAGAATGAAAAAAAAAAAGAAATGCAAGAAAATGAGGTGAGGCATTTAGGAGAAGTAGCAGAAATAATAGAGGAAAAAAAAAATGAAACATCTAATAATCTGGCGACAAACAAAACTAAAAAAAAGTACCGTTTTAAAAAGAAAAAGAAGTCATTAAAAGTTAATGTCGAAATTGAAAATAAAGTTCATGAAATGCAGAACTATCAATTTGATTCGAAAAAAGATGATAACAATGAAGAATATTGTAACATGCCATCAAATACTTTTTCTGGTAATGAATCCGATGTTATTGAAATGAGGCTGGACACAGAGGATACTTTATCATCTTCTAATAATGTAAACTTGAGTGATGAAGATCTTAAGCAAGAAAAAAGTTTGGATAACAATTTAATGTTAAATGATGAAGAAGAAAACAAAGAAGAAGAATATTTTGTAGTTTTAAGAGCAGAAAGTGCGTGTAAAATGCTCATTGAATCTGAAGAAAATCAAATTATATCAGATAGAAGTTTAAGATCTGAGAAAATAAATAATTTAAATATTCAGGATCTTCCCAATGAATCAAATGCATACTCCAAAATGTATATTAACAAAGAGCGTTCACATTCTTTTGATGAAGGAAATTCCTTTGATGAAGGATCTATTTATAAAAATAGTACTGCCGAAGATGACTATGCTAGTGATAATTTTGAGGGTGATGATGAGTCGGATGATTGTTTTAAATGGGAAGAAGATGGTAAAAGTCATCGCTTTGACACAACTCAAATCTCACAGTCTCGGCCTCATTCTATGACACAAAATCATACATTAGATCGACCTATAATTACACGAACAAATTCATTACCAAACAAATACACTCCACTGCTCCCAATTAAACCAAATGATTTTTTACAGCAAAATGAATCAGTTGTTGAGAATCAATCTGCTTCATCAGAAAAACCTGTGTCTTCCATTTTTTGTGAAACAGATTTTTTAAACAAAGAGGTTCCAAGTAAGTTTTTGTTTCTTTCATATATAGATTTTATAGAAAAATAGATTTATAGACAAATATAGGTTTTATAATAATATTAATACATTATAAAAAACGACCATCATTTGATAGTTAGGCAAAATAACCAAAAATGTTTAAACAAAATTTTTAGAAACTTAGCTAACAAAAAATATAACAGTGCAATACAATTGTTAAATACAAAAATTTTAGATTTTTTTTCACGTCTTGGATAATTTTGGTCAAATCTTTATTTACTTGTTCAGTTCAAAATATGGATAGTTACACATGAAAACAAAACAGGCAAAATATCATATTTGTAAAACCAAAACAAACAAAATGTCATATTTGCAAACATAAGTTCTGATTATTTTCAACTTTTTTTTTATCAAATTGAACTTTATTTTCAATTATTTTATTTTTGTTTTTATTTTCAATTAGTAACAGCATTTTTAAATTGATTGAAACTTTTTACAAAAATTACTTTTTACAAAAATAACAAATTGTTTTGAATAATTTTCTCCTATTTAATTTAAGTTTGTAAATACGCAAAGAATGTCAATGATTGTTTAACATTTTTCAATATATTATATTACATGGTTTTATAAAGTTTTGAATTACAAATTTTTTGAATTACAAATTTTATAAAGTTTTGAAGTGTCTAAAATATTTTCAAATATTTTAGACACTTCAAAACTTATAAACAAAATAATATTTTAATTTGCTTTGTTGACGTAAACTATTATAGCTATATCTAATTTTTATTTGCTTTATTCAACTTTGAATTCACTTGAATGGGCGCAAAACCCTTGGGTGTTTTTTTTTATATCTGTAATTTAAAGCTAAAAGAAACAGGCTTTTGCCTGAGCATGGAAAACAAATTGCATTTTTAAATTATAATATTTGTCATTTATTTTTTGCCTATTTTCATTGAATAATTCTTATTTAATCAGTAATAGAGTAGAATTATTTTGTATTATTAAATTCACTCATTTGTACTAAGTTTTTATTTATTTTAAAGTTCAAATTAATGTATAGTTTATAATTTTATAGTTTATTTGGTTTAACTAAATTAAAGCAATGAAGTGAATCAATTTCCATAATCAATGCATTTATTCATTCAACGCATGCATTTATTCATTCACTAAGTAGTAATAACTAAACACTATTATTAATTAGCAAAGAGTTTTGTATATAAAATAAAGTTCAAAATCAAATTTCAAACATTAAAGGCCGATTCCCAAATGTTAAGTTCAATGGATTCAAAGTTCAAATTATAATATTCAGTATATAAATATAAGTTGTAAGAACGGCTGATTCAAGGTGTAGACATTACTTTATACCATGTATTATTTACCTAATTAGTAATGAGTTACTAATTATTAATAAAATTTAGTAGTAAATTATTTACTTCTAACTTCTAACTACACACATAAAAACTTAATGTCTATTTGCAACTTCTTCCTGTATTCTTTCCTTTATAACTATAATTTTGTAATTTAAAAAAAAAAAAATTTATATAAAAAAATAAATTGCAAAAAGGCAAAGCTATAGCCTAATAGCCTAAAACTCTTTAACATTTTAAATCTTTGCAAGGATATTTTATAATAATCGTGATTTTTAGTTCACAAAGTGATGATGAAATATCTTGTGCATTAAAATAAGTGTAATTTTAGCATTACAATACATGCTATATATTTATTTAAGTCTCTTACTATTTACTCTTATTATTTTATTTAAGTCTCAATACAATACATGCTATATATTTTATTTAAGTCTCTTGTTTAAGACTTGTTTAGAATCTTTTTCATAAGTCTTAAACTTGTTTAAATTTTTCTCAGTCAGAAAATTTGTTTTTTATATATTAATAAATCAAAAATGTTTATTTTTTCAGCAATTTTTCTTTTTGTTGTTATTATAAAATTCAATATAAATAATCAATTATCGTTTTCTTAGCAAATGTTTATATCAATGCTGGTGATTGTGAAGTTGATGCGTCTATGCAAAATTTTTCGAGTAGATCTGAAAAAAGTCAATCACATACAGAAATTGAAGGATTACTAATAACATCCAGTGCTAATACTAAAAATTGGAACTATGCTGATGACGAAAGCTTGAATAATCCTGAAAAACTGCATCATAATGAATCTCCTCTAGAAAACAATCATTTATTGTCTTCTACGCTAGTGGAAGACCAGATTCCTGCATCACCACCTGCATCACCTTCAAGACCGGATTCTTGCATCACCATGAATGTTACTTCAAGTCCATTGCCCGATGAATATTCATTCAATCTATTTGATTAAAAATACCAGTTAATAATGAAAAACATAAAATTATACTGACATAAAATATATAAAGTCTAGATATAAGTAAAAAATAGGCATAAAATAATGGATTAAATTAGTTTTTGTTCTAAGAGTTCTTTTGAGTTATTGCGGCATAACTTAAACTCTATAAAAACTTCAAAAAAGTATTTCCAGTGTTTGAGTAACCATATTTTATAAAAACTTTGAGGAAATAGGACTTAAACATTTTTTGTTATATAAACAAAGCTAAAAACTTAGAAGCGCAGAAAATTTTTGTTTGAAATCTCAACTTTAACTTAGACGAATAAAGTAAAATAAATGTTAAATAAATAATTTAAGATCAGCGACTGAAAACTGTAAATAAGTTTTTGTAAAATTTTTATTGAAATAATTGATGTGTTCAAATTTCTTGTGTTCTATATTTTAGTTTATACTTTAGTTCAATATTTTAATTTATATTTAAAATTATTGCTTTTACATTTCATTTTACTTAAATAATTAGAAATGTTTTTTAAAACAAGTTTATTTTAAAAAACATTAAAATAATAACATAAATATAAAACGTCAGGTTGACCAAGTATGTATTAATTTTTAAAACAGTAATAATAAAACAGAAATATTTAATGTAATAAAACTAGGTAAAATGTTTTGGTTAAACATTCCATTTATACTTTATAATTAATACTACTTTGTCAATTGTATAGTTGAGATTATTATTTTGTTATTTGTAATTAGCTGCTGTGTAAGATGTTTATGATTTTATAAAAACTGATGTTTTATGTTTATAT